TGATGAGGTGCGGAATTCGCAGTGTTTTCTGTGCAAACCAGGGCTCAAAGCAAACGCATATATATATATACAGTTGTGTTCAAAATAATATCCGTGTGATGAAAACAGTGACTAAAGCTGCAAATCCTTCTAATCCTTTTATTTCCATCCACACAAATGCATTGGGAACACGACACATTCTATTCCAAATCACAACATGAAGAAAAATACATCAAATTTGTGTTGTTCCTCTAAAAAAAATGGAAGAAAAGTGAATATTAGACGGTTCAAAAAAATGGCTCAGTGTTTGTATTCTTCTTTACAAACTCCAACATTCACTATATAAACTGAGAAATGTTTGAAGATTTTGCTTTCCTTTGAATGACTTCATGAATATTTGGTTGTAGTCGCACTGTTTCTGAGGACTGCTGTACATCTGTGTTGCATGGAGTCCCCCAACTTCTGGCCCCTGTGATCAGGTATTCCAGCCCAGGATGATTGGACCACATTCCACAGTTCTTCTCGATTTCTTGGTTTTGCCTCCGAAACGGCATTTTTGATGTCACCCACAAGTGTTCTATTGGATGAAGATCCGGGGATTGGGCTGGCCACTCCATAACGTCCATCTTGTTGGTCTGGAACCAAGATGTTGCACGTTTACTGGTGTGTTTGGGGTCGTTGTCTTGTTGGAACACCCATTTCAAGGGCATTTCCTCTTCAGCATAAGGCAGCATGACCTCTTCAAGTATTCTGATGGATTCAAACTGATCCATGATCCCTGGTATGCGATAAATAGGCCCAACACCGTAGTATGAGAAACATCCCCATATCATGATGCTTGCACCACCATGCTTCACGGTCTTCACAGTGTACCGTGGCTGAATTCAGTGTTTGGGGGTCGTCTGACAAACTGTCTCCGCCCACTAGACCCAAAAAGAACAATCTTACTTCCATCAGTCCACAAAATGTTGCCCCATTTCTCTTTAGGCCGGTCAATGTGCTCTTTGGCAGATTGTAACCTCTTCAGCACATCTTTTTCCCAACAGTGGGACTTTGCGGGGACTTCTTGCAGATAGCTTGGCTTCACATCGGCGTCTTCTAATTGTAACAGTCCTCACAGGGAACGTCACACCTTCTTTCATCTTCCTGGAGCTGATTGTTGGCTGAGTCCTCACAGGGAACGTCACACCTTCTTTCATCTTCCTGGAGCCGATTCTCCTTCACGTCTTCTTTCATCTTCCTGGAGCTGATTGTTGGCTGAGTCCGCGCCATGTTGGCTATTCTTCTATCCATTCCAATGGTAGTTTTTCGCTTTCTTCCGCGTCTTTCAGGTTTTGGTTGCCATTTTAAAGCATTTGCCATCATTTTAGCTGAGCAGCCGATCATTTTCTGCACTTCTTTATATGTTTTCCCCTCTCTCAATCAACTTTTTAATCAAGGTACGCTGTTCTTCTGAACAATGTCTGGAACGACCCATTTTCCTCAGAATTTCAGAGAGAAATGCACTGTAACCGGCATGTCCAACATTTGCTGCCTTCCTTCCTTAAATAAGGGCAATCAATTGCCACCTGTTTATCAAAGAATGAATGACCTCACTAATAGAACTCCACACGGCTATTATTGTGAACACGCCCCTTTCAATGAGCGATTCAATGACACAGAATCAGCAGCATGCATGTCATGACTGTTGGGTCTGTTGGATTTCTATGACTCTACTACACCTGCTAGGAAATTATTTGCCATGTAGAAATATCATTTCCACCAAAAACAGTGATTGATCCGGTTAGTGATGTCTGACGGCTATTATTTTCAACACAAATATATTTATATATATATATATACACACACACAATATACACACATATACACACATATATATCTATCTATCTCAAAAACAAAACAAGATTCTTAAACTGAGACATCTTACAAGCAACCAAGAAAGTCCAGGGAATTTCAGATGTTATCGCTCCATAGGTTCTCCAATGCAGGCCAGAGAAAAGGCAGGATTGTGCATCAGCAGCTAGCAGGGCATGCTGGGAATTGTAGTTCCAGAACCAGCAGCTGCAAATTGCCTCTGGATCTAACAAGGTGCCAAGTAAGAACAGAGTCAAACACAATCTGAAAGTGTCAAAGCCCTGCAACACGAAATGCATGCGATTTCCCATCAGAGGACGCCTGAATGAAAGTATTTATAGCCTACATTTCCCTGTAGATTAGGATAGAATAGGGAAGGATTAGAACTGTCAGGTCTTGCTGCCATCCAGGGCTCAGTGATAGAGATTCCTCCTCCGCCCCGGGGAGAGGAAGTGAGGAATCGCTCAAACAGCAACACATACCAAGTATAAAAACAAAAAAACAAAAACCACAACCCTTCCAAACACTCTCCAAAACAAACGTTTTGCCTAACTTTTTTCAGATGCCGAAGCTCGCTAGATTTCTCACAAGTATATTTGTATGTATAGAATGCGATGCACTGCAATTAAACCACAAAAGCAAAACAAAACAAGTGTCCAAATTAAAAAGTCTAAATTAAAAAAAAAAAAAAAAAAAAAAAAAAAGTGTTGAAAGATGAGAATTGAGCCCAGATTCACACAGATTTGACTTTGCACCAGTTTCTGTGCGATTTGCGCACAGCATCATAATCGCACCCCGTTCATGCGAACCACTGTGGGTGTGTATTTTAAGTTAAACACCCCGAAATCAGTTTGCAAAACACAGTGCGATGTGCAGAATCAGATCACACCCATATGATCATATTCTAGTGCGTGAAAAAAAAAAAAAAAAAAGGGGTCCTGCACCATTCTGGAGCGGATGTGTTGAGAATTGAGTCATACAAAATGTACAGCTCAAATTTCACCACAGAAATCGCATGTGATTTCTCAGGAATGCAGTGCGGTTCATGTGCATAGCACATGCGATGTGCTGCACCGCATCAGTGTGAACCCGTGCTCAATCTTCAATAAAACTTCTGGTTCATTTCTGGTAAAACATGACACATCACAACAGGCTCCACCCTACGCGTTTCATCATAAACGCCCCAAGGATATCTGTGACGAAACGCGTAGGGTGGAGTGTTATGACATACTCACGGTTTACTGGAAGTGAAACAGACATTTTTAGATTGGGTGATTATAGACAGCGCAGTTCATCTTGCTTTGTCTGTAAATGCAATGTTAGTAGCTTTAGCCCGGTTCACGCTGATGCGGTGCAGAAATCGCAGCGTCTTGTGTGAATTCCGAACCGCATCAGAATCACACCCTCATGCGAACAGCTGTGGGTGTATGTCAACACCCTGAAAGCGGTTGGCAAAAAGCGGTGCGATGTGCAGAATCGGATCACTTAGTGTGAATACCCATGCGATCCGATTTTAGTGCGGACCCGAAAAAGGTTCCAGTGTGTTTCTGGTGCGGTGCAATTAGAGCCAAAATGTACAGCTCGCATGTGATTTGCAGGGAATGCGGTGCGGTTCCTGTGCGAATCACATGCGATATACCGCACATATACGAACCCGGGCTGAATAAATGTTTTTCACACTATGTGGAGTATGTGATGTTTACTGGCATTCACCCGCATGCATGGATCCTTGGCTGGGGGGGAAAGTTGTGGCGACCACTTCTATAGGGGGAAGATGAGGAATCCAGATGCAACCTCAAAGCGTTGTTTTAGCGCGTTCGGTAGCAGATTTGAGTGGACGTTGGTGGCGGCACGGAGAAGTAGTTGAATATTGAAGATTGAATTCTTTTCTTGCACACTTTATTTTGGACACATTGATATTTTCGTGGTGTATACATATCGTTCGCGGTGAACAATCTCGCGCTGTGCTGGCAGCTCATACATTTTCGTATCCTACGAGCGCAGTTACTACTTTGGTTCTTTGTATCTGCATTCAATATATATTGGTACTACGAGCCTTTTTAGGCCGGGTTCACATACATGCGGTGCGGTATATCGCATGTGATTCGCACAGGAGCCGCACCGCATTCCTCTGCAGATCACATGTGATTTGTGGGCGGTGCGATCGGAGTCGTACATTGTGTATGGCTCTAATCGCACCAAATAGGCGCAGGACCCTTTTTTTGGGTCCGCACTAGAATCGGATCGCACGGGTATTCACACCTTTGTGATCCGATTCTGCACATCACACCGATTTCAGGGTGTTCGCATACACACCCGCATCCTTTTTTTTTATTTAGCTGTGTGTTTCTTGTTATGACCATAACCTACCACCAAACAGCAACCCAAAATAAATTCTCCAGCTCTTGACGATCGCAGCGATACCATATATGTGTATGTTATTTGTTGTTTGTACCCGGAGTACAGCCCAGAAACCATAGTGCACATTTTGTTTTTGTTTTTTTTTTTTTTTTTTTTACCTAAAACACACTAACACTGACACTGACATTAACACTAACTGACACTGATACCAATTTTTTTTTAAATCTTGACCCTGACCTAAACACTAACCCTGGCACTGAACTAGATCAAACCTTGATCTAGGTATTTTTTTTTATTTTTTATTTTTTTTTTTAATATATTTATTTCTCTTTTTTTTTTACAAACTTTTTTTTTTTCTTCTCTCTGACAGGAGTTTGAGAGATACAATGTATCTCTCTTCTCCATTCATAGAGAGAGAAAAAAAAACAAGGGGGCCGGGCTGCACAGTGACTGATCACTGTGATAGCCAATCAGAGGCTATCACAGCGATCATGTGACCCGGGACCCGGTGCTCTCAGTGACACCGCGGTCTCGGTGCTGGGAGCACGCTGAGGGGCGCGCTCCCAACACAAAGACAGGTACGCAAAAGCAAAGCCCAGGTCCGTGAGGCCGCATATTTGTGTTACGTCGGCGTCAAGGGGTTAAAGAGCCCCATCATGGGGAAAGTCGCATGTACAGGAGAGATGTACTGAAATACTCCAACAGCCACTCACAGACTAGATTGACACATTTTCATTGGAAAGCCTTCAGACGGCAGAACCCCGAGCAGACCGAACCATAGATCAGCACAGGCCGCCATACTGTACCTTTTTCCCGGTTTGTTTCTCCACCATGTCGTAGCTTAGAGAGAATTCTTCTGGCTGTGGTGTTTTAGAACACCCACCCTTGGGCATCGTTTTGCCTTCCCTACTTGACCTTCATTTACTCCCCTATCGCTTCGTCATCAACAGTCTAAAAAGAGAAGAAAAAAAAACACGGAATTATTAAAAAACATAAATAGTTCCCATTAAAAGTAACAAGAATGTGACAAGTTATTAGCATTGATCTCATTCTGGTGTAGAATTCCAGAAGCCGCATTGATTGCGTCACGTCAGGAACCAGCCTTCTGCTAACTCAGACCACACATTGAAAGATCTGGCACTAGGAAAGCACAAACAAGGAAGGCTGAAGGAATAGAAACCGCACCAAGGGGAGGGCAAGAGGGCGGGAGAGCAAAGGGCGGGAGGGCAAGAGGGCGGGAGGGCAAGAGGGCGAAAGGGCAAGAGGGCGGGAGGGCAAGAGGGCGGGAGGGCAAGAGGGCGGGAGGGCAAGAGGGCGGGAGGGCAAGAGGGCGGGAGGGCAAGAGGGCGGGAGGGCAAGAGGGCGGGAGGGCAGAGGGGCGGGAGGGCAAGAGGGCGGGAGGGCAAGAGGGCGGGAGGGCAAGAGGGCGGGAGGGCAAGAGGGCGGGAGGGCAAGAGGGCGGGAGGGCAAGAGGGCGGGAGGGGCAAGAGGGCGGGAGGGCAAGAGGGCGGGAGGGCAAAGGGCGGGAGGGCAAGAGGGCGGGAGGGCAAGAGGGCGGGAGGGCAAGAGGGCGGGAGGGCAAGAGGGCGGGAGGGCAAGAGGGCGGGAGGGCAAGAGGGCGGGAGGGCAAGAGGGCGGGAGGGAGAGCGGGAGGGCGGGAGAGCGGGAGGGGGGGGAGAGCAGAGGGCGGGAGAGCAGAGGGCGGGAGAGCAGAGGGGCGGGAGAGCAGGAGGGCGGGAGAGCAGAGGGCGGGGAGAGCAGAGGGCGGGAGAGCAGAGGGCGGAAAGTAAAGGGCAAAAGGGCAGAGTGTAAAGGGCAAATCCGATCTCACTGGCTGAAGGTTTATTCCAAGACTCGAACACACGGCTAAATGGCTACAGACATCAGGCAAAATGTAGAACACATTGACCATAGAGCTCCATATTAGAATTCCACCGGTTTTATTACAAAATATACTTGCTGACCCTGTTGGTTGACCACGATTCCAAAACCACCCATAAATGCCCAATCCCACCCAGATCACTTCTCTGCAATTCCAACTGCCAAAAATGGTCCCGTGCAAGGATGATGGGCGCTGTAGTTTAACCGCCTGCCCGCCGCCCCATAGAAGATGTACTGCTACAGGGCAGCTTCGCTTGGGCAAGAATACGTAAATATATGTGATTTTGCATTGCTGAGTAGGGGGCGTGCGTGCTGCCCTACCCGTGCTGCTATTGGCTGGCTCCTAGGGATGTTAATCACCGGGCGACGGTCAGCGATTTTCACCCGGGACTCCGTGGTTGTCGGCGAAGCTGAGAGGGGAAGAGATCTGGGTGTAAACACAGATCTCCTGTCAGCATGGATGAGCTGCTTTCTTTCTGCAGAACAGAGTGCCTAAAACGGGTACACGAGCATCAGAACTAGACCACAGAGCAATGGCAGGTGGTGTCTTCAAGGTGTTGACTTGGCCTTCAGATCTCAATCCAGTTAAGCATCGTTGGGAAATGCAGGAAAAAGGAGTCTGATCCATGGAGGCCCCACCTCAACTTCCAGGACTGAAAGGTAGTGACGGCTTGGTGCCGATACCACAGGGTACCTTCAAAGGTCTAGTGGAGTCCATGGTGAGATGGGTCAGGGCTGTTTTTTGTGGGGGACCTACTCATTAGGTGGGTGGTGGTCATCTTGTGGCTGATTGGTGCATACAGACTTCTACAATTTGCCCCATTGAGCTCCGAAACTGGACAGAAGTTGCAGCAAAAACAGTCGAAGAAGAAAGGTTGGCCAAGCGATGAGTCAATACAAGAAGACGGCCCACATAGAGACCCGACATTGTTATGATTTACTGCTCTACAAAACATTCTGACAATTTGAAAAGCGAAGGCCCGCCGCACCGCCCCCGCATCGCAGGCGCCCGCCGCACCGCCCCCGCATCGCAGGTCCGCCGCACCGTCCCCGCATCCCAGGCCCGCTGCACCGTCCCCATCCCCGCATCGCAGGCCCGCCGCAACCGTCCCCATCCCCGCATCGCAGGCCCGCCGCACCGTCCCCATCCCCGCATCGCAGGGCCCGCCGCACCGTCCCCGCATCGCAGGTCCGCCGCACCTGCACCGTCCCCGCATCGCAGGCCCGCCGCACCGTCCCCGCATCGCAGGCCCGCCGCACCGTCCCCATCCCCGCATCGCAGGCCCGCCGCAAAACACCGTCCCCGCATCGCAGGTCCGCCGCACCTGCACCGTCCCCGCATCGCAGGCCCGCCGCACCTGCACCGTCCCCGCATCGCAGGCCCGCCGCACCGTCCCCGCATCGCAGGCCCGCCGCACCGTCCCCGCATCGCAGGCCCGCCGCACCGTCCCCGCATCGCAGGTCCGCCGCACCGTCCCCGCATCGCAGGTCCGCCGCACCGTCCCCGCATCGCAGGTCCGCCGCACCTTCCCCATCCCCGCATCCCAGGCCCGCCGCACCGTCCCCGCATCCCAGGCCCGCCGCACCGTCCCCGCATCCCAGGCCCGCCGCACCGTCCCCGCATCGCAGGTCCGCCGCGCCGCACCTTCCCCGCATCGCAGGCCCGCCGCACCGTCCCCATCCCCGCATCGCAGGCCCGCCGCACCGTCCCCCATCGCAGGTCTGCCGCACCTGCACCGTCCCCGCATCGCAGGCCCGCCGCACCTTCACCATCCCCACATCACAGACCATGCAAGCACCGGCTTCATGTAGACGGTTCCTTCTGCTGGCACAGGACAAAACATTGACATGATGTGCGCACGGTCCCATCTTGGCCGGAGACCAGAGCACACGCTCTCCACAGTCATTACATGAATTCTGCCGTCTTCCCGTAAATAAATCCCATCCTATCAAACGCCTGAAACGCTGCTCAGTCACATCAGGGGGGGGGGTGGGGTCGATTCGAACCACAATAAAGCCCCAGGCACACTGCCAGTTCATTCCGTGAGCCTTCCACAAGTGACCCCGGCATCGCATCAATGTCTGGTTGCTGTGGCATTGCACCAGAATCTCATCACTCAAAGCAGAGAAATAAATGGTGTCAGATAATCCAACTGAACAAACCTCAGGAGCAGCAATGCTCAAGTGCCATTATCAGAGCTGCATGGGGCCCCATACCCCCATCCTGACAGTGCTATGGGGCCCCATACCCCCATCCTGACAGTGCTAAGGGGCCCCATACCCCCATCCTGACAGTGCTATGGGGCCCCATACCCCCATCCTGACAGTGCTATGGGGCCCCATACCCCCATCCTGACAGTGCTAAGGGGCCCCATACCCCCATCCTGACAGTGCTATGGGGCCCCATACCCCCATCCTGACAGTGCTATGGGGCCCCATACCCCCATCCTGACAGTGCTAAGGGGCCCTATACCCCCCCCCATCCTGACAGTGCTATGGGGCCCCATACCCCCATCCTGACAGTGCTATGGGGCTCCATACCCCCATCCTGACAGTGCTAAGGGGCCCCATACCCCCATCCTGACAGGGCTCTGCTCCCTAAAAAAAGAAAGGACAGTTTACTATGCTTCGGATGTGAATGAACACAGTGAGTGACTGGTATTGATCTGTCATTGTGTTTATTCAGGAAAGGAGAGGGCTGGTAAATGTGACACTTAGCAGACCCTTCCCCCTCTCTCTATTCTGAATTGTGTGCTTGCAGCTACCGGTGGGAAGTAGAAGGAAGCTGACACCGCGGGGGTGGGGAACACCAGGGGGTGAAACGTACAGTGCACTGGGAGGGTGATCGGCATGGTGGAGGGGCGACACTTACTGGAACGGATCCCCTGTATGGCTCTCTGCAGCAGCTGAAAGCCAGCAGGAGGGAGAGGAAGAAGCCGGTTTTCAGCTGCTGCAGAGAGCCATACAGGGGATCGGTTCCAGTTACTGGCCACCTCGTGCCGATCCCCTCCCACACACACGTGATTTTGCGCCCCGTGTCGCCCTGTAGCAGTAGTTCTGTCATGGGGTGGACAGGAAGCGGTTACTGAACCGTCACACATTTCATAGCGTTGGATCGGCCAGCGACCTGCCCGCAGTCCTTCTGCTCAATTCAATGGTGTCACCGCATTGTGTTCTATCCTGTGGTGGGAAGTGCACTGGAAGGACAGGCCAGTCCCACCACACGCTGTGAAGGGACCCCAAGGGGCCCCAGGCCTTATTCTGCATGAAGTCTATTTTCAGTAAACAAGAAATGGAAAGGAGGAATTTCAGCAACGCATGGAAGTCGGAGGAGCGCGGTCTATAATGCAGGTAATACAGGAGACATAAATGGGAGATCAGTATTCTGGAGATGCGGCCGTCATCGTCACACCGCCTTTAATCTAGACGCCGCGATTATTCCTCGCCTCGGTGAGAGCGGCGCACTAACATCGCATGACAAAAGGTTTCACAGGACGGGGCTGAGTTGCCAGGAAACCAGGTCAGGAATAAACACGGATCCGACAAACACTCAGGTACATGTTGTAACCAGACCGACCCTGAAGTGCCATCTGGAGCCAAAGAATATGAGATCCCACATGGCTTCCGGGGACTTCCCTGTCCAACCTAAAGGCCTGACCAGGTAGGAGCAGCAATGTGCCAGGACCCAGACGTTCCGTGTGATCGAAGGAGAAATACCAGGGCGGCCATTGCTGACCTGCTGGGGCCCTCACACCATTGCCGGGACCGGGGCCCTCACACCATTGCTCGGCCTTCAAGGAGTCCCTGGAAGTACAGGAGGACCCAGACGTTCCGTGTGATCGAAGGAGGAGAAATACCAGGGCGGCCATTGCTGACCTGCCGGGACTGGGGCCCGCGCGCCACCGCCGGGACTGGGGCCCACACGCCACCGGACGGGACTGGGGCCCTCACGCCACCGGACGGGACTGGGGCCCTCACGCCACCGGACGGGACTGGGGCCCTCACGCCACCG